GTTTAGGGTTTAGCGTTTAGGGCTGAGGGTTTACGGGTTCCTTCGCTATAAGAGCCATGTGAAGCGAAGGACAATGAAGGATACCGGAAGGGATACCATAAAGGGATCCTTGAAGGGCTCTGTTAGGATTCCTTGAAGGGACGCTGTAGGGTTTCCGCTAACGGGCTTAATATAGGCCCGGGGTTTAAATAATTAGAACAAGGTGTTGGGGCCCAGTATACTATAATTATAATAAGCTGAATATATGGGCATTAATAATTAGAATAGGGTGTTGGGGCTTATTATACTATAATTCTAATAAGGAGATAGTATTGGAAACTATTTAAAAAAAAAACATTAGGGTTCAGGGGCTTCGGGGTTTATGAGCGTCTAGAAGCTAGGGTTTGGGGCTTATAGGGCTTTAAGGATTCAGGGATCCTTGGAAGAGAGAACTATGAGGGTTTAGGGAGGAGGAGCTTAGGGTTGAGGAGTTTAGGACTTAGGCTTTAGGGTTTAGGGTTTAGGGTTTAGGGTTTAGGGGTCTCTCTACAGGGTGCTATAAGGGCTTGTAGAAGGGAGCAAGAGGCGGCTTGCTTCGCGCTTTCGGGTTTCATGGTTTAGGGTGTGATGCTTTTGGATTGGGGGTGTTCGCATTTTTCGGTTCAGGGCTTCGTTTTGGGGCTTGGGGGCTTAGGGCTTAGGCCTTTGGTGATTAGGATTCCTGTAAAGGTAGCTGTAGGGGTTCTGTCAGGATCAATGCACGGGTTCCCCGAAGGAGTACTTCCAGCAGCAGCGCAGGGTTTGCCGACAGGCGTCCACTGGTGTACGCTGAAAGCCAAACAAAATATGCTCAAGCCGTAAACCCTAACGCTCATGGGACCCATGGGCAACATCCAGCATTGCCCTAAGTACCCTGAGCTATGGGAGCTATACGATATTCCTTACTTCATTATGGATACCTCAGGGTTGTGTACATTAACTGTCGAAGAAGAGCCCTTGCCCACCAATCCATCGGCCTTACCAGCAAGGTATAGGGAGAGTAGCCGAGGTTTGACGGTTAAGGCTTAGGGGTGCCTGAATGGTTTACGTTCTTACAGATTAAGAATGCAACAACAAGACTTGCTACAACAAGCAAGAACAGCAATGGACCGTATATGAACGATGCTAATAATGAATGCATATTCGAAGTCACGGGCACAATACTAGGAACCACAACCATGAGAACCAAGAGTCAAACGAAGGCATATGCATCAACTTACCTGTGAATCCAGTATCCTTGGCTGTTAACTGTCATCTGCTGCTACATATCAATAAAGGTTATCCTGCCTAAGAAAAGGCGACAGATATCCCGCTTGACACTTAACCCGTCAAGCCTCTCAAACCTAAACCCTAAGCCCGGTGTGAAACCATAAACCCTTCACGCTCTTAGATCCCAGACCCCAACCCTAAACCCCAAAATCCCAAACCACAACCCAAAACGCAAAACCTTAGCTAAACCCTAAGCTCAAAACCCTCGGAACATGGGTTGAGGATGACTATCCTGTACCTTAAGGGCATCAGGAGAACGATGTTCCAACTCTCGGGCTCCTACTTGAAACCCAAAGCCCTAAACCCTAAACCCTAAACCCTAAACCCTAAACCCTAAACCCTAAACCCTAAACCCCAAACCTGCTGATTGAGGCCTTCAAGACATCTTCCAGGGTCACTTCGGGCATGCTCGACAGTGATTTTACCTGCTCGCATGGAGACCGGGAACATCCTTAATCATTAGGACTTACTAGGACATACTCTCTTTCAAGTATATGGAGGAATATCTAATTATTTAGGCTCCTTTAAGGATCATTAGGACTTGCTAGGACAAAATCTTGTTTAAGTATGTGGAGGACCTATAAGGAACCATATTTAATTATTTAGGCTCCTAATATAGAACCCTATCATAGATCCCTTATAGAACCCTTTAAGGATCCCTTTGAAGGAATCCTATTCCAATTAAGACCCTAAACCCTAAACCCTAAACCCTGAAACCTGAACCCTGAACCCTAAACCCTGAACCC